TCCATTTGTGTTCCATCCAAATTTTAAAAAGAACAAAAAATCTTGTGCCTCCACTTTCTTATGAACATAATACATTATTACCTTTCTTTAGGAAGATACAAGCTGAATTTGAACTATATTCCTTGGTGTGTTTATGAAGGAACTCACTTAACTTACCAAAATGTAAATTCGTGAATTTTGGTAAATAATGGAATTGACAAGGTTTCGCAAAGAAATCGAGAAATTTATAATTTATACGAACAGATCGCGATTTTTGTATTCAAAGGGGAAAATCTGTTTTACATTTTCTTTCATACATTTCCCTTCTTCCGAGGAGTTTATTTTATGTTGCACATTCGCACGAATTTTCTCTTCACATTATGCATGAATAATTGAAATAATCCGAGCTGCAGAACTCAAGACAATGATACTTCAGGACAGGTAAATATATTGACTATCACCTAAAAAGAAAATTATCCTTTCTTGTGCCTCTGCTCAGCGAGTGACACTGAGTTATTGTTGACACGTTGAGGAACCGCTACACACCACACCTCTTACCAAGTCAGCTGACAGCAAACAATCTCGGGAGCTCAGAGTGCTGCCATATTCTCGCATTTCAGACCCGACCCTGACTCACGCACACCAAACACCACACGAAAGTACGAGTGATGACAGCAAGCGCCGTATAATGGTCAACAGCAAAGCACTTCAAAGAAAAACATGTAACCGAAAAGCTGGGCACACAAAGAGTTACGCATCAGCAACTACAGGGACATTGCCCTTGAACACCGTGACTAACATTTCTCTTTCTCATGTCATATATTTTCATCAGCGCACCTTCTTGTCTCATCTGCATATTGGTTTTCTAAAAAGTACAGTAATACCAGAGCAGTTTTCCTTTGACTATATTAAGATTAATTTTCTTGGTTCTGAACGATACCTCCATATTTTTCATAGGAATTTATTTGAAACAAATTGGTTTCCGTGTCAGTGAAAATCACATTATCACAAAAAAATGTATCACTTGAATCTGCATCAAACACGAGAGAAAATTCTTGATTTAAAAATTCGAAATTTAGCACTAAACGTCTATTGTATTAAGAGAAAGTTCGTTCACAATTATCATAAACAGGAGATTTTTACAAAATGTCGAAAGTGCAAAAATAGTTTTAGGTTCTAATCCCAAAACAAAACGATTGTAGCCTTCAAAGCCTAGAAGTTTGATAAAATGGAAAAAGAGACATTGTTGTATAGAAGGAGACAAGAATTTAAACATAACGTTGTCAAATTTAAGAATCTTAAAACTTTACTTTATGAACATAAACAGTCCGCTTCCTAAATTTTACGCTTCATAGTATAAAAGAGAATTGAAGATCTGATTCTGCGAGTTAGTTGAGAGTACTTCTTGAATCGAAGGTTCACGCTAGACGAATATCGAGGATAAAAAAAAATAGAATCACTCACGCGCGTGACAATCACTCGTCGGGCATAATGAGGTAGTCGAGCATTTCCGACACGCAGAGTCAAATGGAACAGCCAGAACAGACCCAAGGAGCACTTCTGTCGACGATTTTCTGCGTGAGCTCAACTACATTAGCTCATAAAAGTTATATGGTTCACTGCCAGCAACACGGTCTCTTACATTGCTTGATAGTAGTATACATAGCAAGGTTTGAGCAATAGTATGTTTCTTACGAATGCGGACACGTTTTAGTAGCATGTATTCGGAAAAAAAATAAGAGCTGTATTTGAAGTTATACAACGCGACAACTTTCCCAGGGCTAGGACATGAAATGCTAGTATACTTAATGCCCTAAATTTGTAGACTCGATTCATCGGGAAGCGGAGAAATTCATTTTAACTCCTTCTCGCTCTAAAGAGATCCGCAGGGAAGTTTCAGCCAAGTTAATGTATTGATAAGCAAGTAGAGGAGAACCTGCCATACATTTTAGCTCAATGTTTCGGATTTAACTCGCAAGTACTAGGAGCTCTTAAAGCAGGGCTGTTAACGGAGCAGGATCATCGAAGACACTTCCTCCCCGCATCCCTTCACCGCCCTTTGGGGGTCCACCGCCACGCCCCCGCCTATCCAGCTTTCCCAGAACTGAGCTTAAATCACAAAGGAAACGCTGACTTTGTACATTAAGTATTACGTGTAGCCCCGGTAGCTATCGGAGAGATCGCACTTACCCGGGCCGCTGGCCCTAGGGACAATTGTTTTGAGCAGGTCTAACTTCAGGTGTCATCACAATAATTTCAAAATCAGTGAAATTATCAATAAGCGCTTCACAAATGTGCCAGACATGCAGGCGAAAACTATTATGTATGTTTTTATAATTATCTTTTTGAAATAGTTTTACTTATTTCAACATTCAATTTAACCTCGGTGATGAAATTGACGCAACAGGAAACAATTAGTGTTTTAGGCCGCGTCATCAACAATGTTCATGTCCCGTAATTTTAGTGCAAGTTAAAATTCAGGAGGCGCCTGTGATCCTTTTCCATTATAACGTGAGGATTCGGCACCGATCATCATATCGCCTGGCGAGTTTCCTTCTTCCGCGTGTCCCCTGGCCAGACGCCGCCCAATCCAGGACAAAGTATGGTCTCCCGACGTGTGTGGTAGAGTAGAGCGTATTAAAGTGCACGCATGTTTTTGTAAGTGTGTGCGTGTAACGGGAGAGGATGGGTCAAAGATGAGAAACAAAAGATTGTGATCTGTACGTGGCCCATTTGCGAAGGTACTGATCCGGCATTCGCCTGGTAGTAATCTGCGAAACCACGGAAAACCAGCGCTCAGAGTAGCAAGCTGCTTGAATTCTCCCAAAAACTCTAATTAAATTCGACCTAGCTATGTAGATAGTGTCGAAAACCCACCGCTAGAGTCTCCCGATTAGCGACGCTGTAGAGGCAGCACCCGTTGTCATGGAGCCATCGCAACCGCGCCGAGATATCGCGTGCTGGCTGGGGGGTTCGACCGCCTGGGCCGGCCGGGGCGGGAGCGTGGCCGGGGCCGGAAGGAGGGGGCGGCGGACGGGGAGGGAAAGGAGGGCTCTGAAGTGCTGGCAGCGAGCGCGGGCGGGGTGGAGCTGCAACGGGGGCTGGGGTGGAGGCGGGGGCGCAGCGGGCAGGGAAGGGGTTGCAGGGGGAGCGGTGCGTCAATAGCAGTACTGCGGCATAGGCACCCCGCGCGGCTCCCGCCAGCCCCTTACTCAACGATTGCACTCCTCACACAAAACGACGACGACTCAGATTATGCAAAGGCTTACAAAAAAAAAAACAATCACATTACGACTTTTTGCTCTGAAATAAGAAACTGCTTAATGAAGCGCACGTACAAATACCAAGCTTGTAGCAATCGTGTGTTTTAGACAATGTGAGGTCAGGTTCATATGCCAGAAAATGGGATAGTTAACAACAAATAATGAAACAAGAAAAAAACATCAGTCCTGTAAAATGAATGGGTGATGGGAATTAAAGTGGACAGTCCATTTTGTCTGAGCATTTGCACCTAAAAAAGAGTAACACGGACACAAACCAATTTCCCTGACTTGACTGAAATACACAACAGTGAAATGAAATGTTTTACGGACGGCGATGTAGTAGTCAAAGACTCGATAATGTTGCAAGGCAAGTGTTGTTATCATTTTTGTGACAAAGATAACGGATAATAATGCCAATGATATACGTAGCAACTGTGTATGTAACCCGCACAACACAACTGCAGCCTGGCTTTGATGAAACCATACAGTACGCATTGATTGTTGATACAGGGCCGTAATATTTCATTCTCATATTGAAGGAAACGGGTTTACAGTTTCACACCAAGCACCTAGCTTACAATTGCTAATTCGATTGAATTAACAAATTATCTTCTTTTTCACATTAAAACGGTCGTCTATTTCACATCCTTTAAATGTCAATCCAAAATGGTTGTATTTACTTAAGTATATAATTTATGCTCTTTAAAAATATGTTTGGGAAGAATGTTCATAAAACAAACACTTTCGCCGATAAAGTAGAAAATTGTTACTTTACATTTTTAATACCATAGTATGCGCTGTTCTTTTAAGTACACTGCTGGGAAATCGTGAAACCACAATGAAATGTTCTAGAAGCAGAGAGTAGTTGTCTTTAACGAATGTCAGAGTGCGGTGACGCCGCTCCTAATTGGATGGGATCTCTCGTCACTATCTTTGTCATCTACTAACGTCAGAGGCCGCCACCGTCGCTTCCCAGCGTGTGAAGTGTTGGTAGCCACCGCTTCTCTGGAAAGCGGATCTTCCTGTTTCCTCAACATCTACTATTTGTCCCAAGCCAGTACTCTACTAATCCCATTTTCTATTTCCCTTCACCTAGGATTGCACTGTTTGTGCTACATCCATTTCCTTCTAATTCTCCTGAACGTGTACCATTGTTCTTCCTCGTTAACAAGTTTCTTAGAGAAGATTTCAAATCAAGGAATGCTCAATTAAAAACTGCACCGCAAACAATCTCAGTATCTGGTCTGAAATCGATCATGGAAGGACTTTCCATATTCTTCTTACAGGTTTTGCTAGCGGGCTGTATATTGATACACAATGTCTAGACTCGTTCACATCGTTTTTCAGATCACAAAATCTGAAGTAACAAGTAAAATACTCGTACAAACACCGATATAACTGACAATCGGCGTCCATTATCCAACATACAGGTCAACATCAGCTTGAAGACTAAATTTCAGCATAGTGAGATATGTTGAAGCCATCCATTACAACGATGATTAATATTCTTATATAGCCTGCGTGTCATTGAGACAGATGATTTTATAGTTTTTAATAATTTAATAACTTTGAATTTTAAATAACAAATTGTACCTCTAATTTATATTTCTTGTTCTTCAGCTTGAAATCTTTCTACTCGTACGTATAGAACCTTAGAACGTAAAGTGAAAACAAAGGCTAGCTGCGATCTGCTTTAAATGGAGACAATTTTCCACCGTCGCCTTCGACTCATGTGTGCGGTGTACGTGCGTGTTGCAGGTCCAGTTCGGCCTGGTCTTCGTGCACTCGGCGCAAGTTCTTTTCTTCGACTGCGGGTATCCCAAGCTGGTCGCCGCCCTCCTCCTGCTGCACTCCGTCATCTTCTTCGGACTCTTCTTCGACTTCTACCAGCAGGCGTACAAGAAGAGGGACAAGGTCAAGAAGGTGGAGTGACCGTCGCCGGCCGAAGGGCGCCAGGTGAGAATCGCCCCTCGGAAAGGGGAACGCAAAAACTAGCGAAACGGATCGTACAGCCTCGCTGTTAGAGATTTTTATATTGGGATTAAAAGTGGCGCAACCAGCAGTTTTCAAAACAGGGGTTGGGGATTAAGTGACTCCAGTTGACTCTAGGTTGTGGTATAAAATGTTTTCCATTTATGCAGAGCTAAAAAACTGATATTTACATGTTTATATCGTATTCAATTCAATTACTTTCGTTACTAAAACAAAATTCGGCTTCTGGAGGAATGAGCCGACCGTTGGGTGGCCCATTAAAGGTGACAAACTAAGGGAAACGTCAAACCATGCGAGAATGATAGAACGAATCTGACGTGAGTAAAACATTTCAAAAGTGATTCAGTGAGGAAGGGTATGAAATTGAGATAGTTTACATGTGCGGGAGATTGAAGAAGTTTGAATGCAATTGTTGGTGGAATTATTTGGGCGAAGAGGGGCGAAGAGGGGGGTGTGAGAGAGAGGGAGGAAAGGGAGGAGAGAGAGAGGGGGGAGGAAGGGAGAGAGAGGGGAGGAAGGGAGAGAGAGGGGAGGAAGGGAGACAGAGGGGAGGAAGGGAGACAGAGGGGAGGAAGGGAGACAGAGAGAAGGAAGGGGGAGAGAGAGAAGGAAGGGAGAGAGAGAGAAGGAAGGGGGAGAGAGAGAGAAGGAAGGGAGAGAGAGAAGGAAGGGAAAGAGAGAGAAGGAAGGGAGAGAGAGGAAGGGAGAGAGAGAAGGAAGGGAGAGAGAGAGAAGGAAGGGAGAGAGAGAGAAGGAAGGGATAGAGAGAGAGAAGGAGGGGAGTTAGAGAAGTGGAAGGGGAGAGGGTTGGGGAAGGGGAGGGAGAGAGAGAGAGAGAGAATGAAATACAACGGGAGTAGAGTGTAGATAGCTAGTAGGTGATACCTTTAGTAGTACCTTGCAGAGGGGAAGGATAAAAGATACAACGAAGGCGTGTCGGACGTCAGGGCAGCGTGAGAGAGCACGAGGGGCGTCGAGGCGGGCGGGCATCGATTGCACCTGCCGCTGGAGCCCCGAGCGCCGCCTGAGATCGATCGGGGACCGTCTGTTGCAGGACCTTTGCTCAAGCGGCGGGCAGGCGCCGTGCCGGCTGACGCGCTCCGACGCAGCGGCGGCAACCAACCCACTTCGCCCGCGCCGCCGCCCTCTCCCGTCCACGCCCACGTGAAGCAAGCTCCCCTGCCGCGGGGGCTGAGCCTCGCCCCGACCCGCCCCGCCCCGTCCGGCCTCGCGCAACACGGCAGCCTCGTGAATGCCGACGGCGCACACTGGGCCGAAACGGGACCAAAGGCGTGTGCTCGTCAACCGTCATCTCTACGCTCCCTTCATGAAGAGGAGGAATACATTTGCGAGACAGACCTGTTACTGACAAGTGATAGAACAGTGCAACCTCAAACATTTACAGCTCACGAAGCGACAGAAAGGCAAAGATATATTATAAACAGGACGCAATTTCTCATTAAACTACATACAAGACTGCATGGATACAGGGAATAAACCTTTTGTAACAGGTTCTAGTGACAGTCAATCTTCCTCTTATCGTGACAAACTTTGGCGCCCCCCCACAGACGTTTTTATAAATAAATCCGTGTGGAAGTTGGGAGGATGAGCGCTTTGGCGTCATTTCGCCCCACTGTGCACCGGCTGCGGGGGAGCTGGGAGGCGCGGCCCGGCAGCTGGCTCGGCGCGCCAGGGGTTTCGGTTCGCGCCCAGTGCCGCGCCAAGCCTGGGCCGCCCGCGCCTCCCTGCTCCTCCCGCGCCGCCGCC